TCCTGCACACAGGCAGCTTTCCCTAAGAGAGAAATTTAATGCACAGAGGCTGAGATGGGCACTCTGAGTGCAGACGGGGAGAAGATCTGAGGCATGGAAATTGTTCCAAAGAGGAAAATATCCACAGAGCTGGGGTGTGATTAGGAAATGAGAGGAACGTAAGAGCTCCTTAATCTTGTACTTCTTAGGAGTTGATGAAACTCATGAAAATAAATTCAAATAAAATGAACATTTTCCTAAGAGAAAGAAAAACTGTTATAGTATGGTGGGAGGAGAGTCTCTGAAAAAGCTCTTGACTCGTCATTATCTTCTGCACTCTGCACAGGACTCCAGGCCCAGCAGGAACTGCAGATGCCCAACAGCAGCTCCATCAGCCAGTTCCTCCTCCTGGCGTTGGCAGACACGCGGCAGCTGCAGCTCCTGCACTTCTGGCTCTTGCTGGGCATCTACCTGGCTGCCCTCCTGGGCAACGGCCTCATCAGCACAGCCGTAGCCTGCCACCACCGCCTGCACACCCCCATGTACTTCTTCCTGCTCAACCTCGCCCTCCTCGACCTGGGCTGCATCTCCACCACTCTCCCCAAAGCCATGGCCAATGCCCTCTGGGACACCAGGCACATCTCCTACGCTGGATGTGCTGCACAGGTCTTTTTCTTTTTGTTCCTGTTATCAGCAGAATATTTCCTTCTCACCATCATGTCCTATGATCGCTATGTTGCCATCTGCAAGCCCCTGCACTATGAAACCCTTTTAAGCATTAGAGCTTGTGCCAGCATGGCAGCAGCTGCCTGGGGCACTGGGGCTCTCTATTCTCTGCTGCACACTGCCAACACATTTTCTCAATCACTGTGCCAAGGCAATGCTGTGGATCAGTTCTTCTGTGAAATCCCCCAGATCCTCAAGCTCTCCTGTTCGATACTGGGCCTTGTTATGGAAATTAGGCTTCTTGTGGCTAGTATAGTTCTTTGTTTTGGGTGTTTTGCTTTCATTCTTTTCTCCTATGTGCAGATCTTCAGCGCCGTGCTGAGGATGCCCTCTGAGCAGGGACGGCACAAAGCCTTCTCCACGTGCCTCCCTCACCTGGCTGTGCTCTCCCTGTTTCTCAGCACTGCCATGGTTGCTTACCTCAAGCCCCACTCCATCTCTTCCCCATCCCTGGATTTGGTGGTGTCATTTCTGTACTCAGTGGTACCTCCGGTAATGAACCCCCTTATCTACAGCATGAGGAATAAGGAGCTGAGGAATTCTCTGTGGAAACTAATGGCCTAATGTGTTGTGAAAACAATGAACTGCCCATCTATTTCTATGCGTGACTTGTAATTCAGATTTTGACTTAACCACGCTGTCTTTTTTTTGGTTTATGTATTCATTTGTTAAGTGTTATTTTTTGAATGTTTTGTTTTCTGTTTTATGTATTCTAAACTCTTTCACTGAATCTTCACTATGCATATCCATTCCTATCCAGCTTGTACCTATGTAGTGTAACCCAGACACACTGTACATGAGGAACCGGGCTCTCTGTGAACCTTATCAAAACAAAGGGCATGCAATGACTTTGTCTGTCTTCTTTCCTGAGAGGCATTTCTGGAGCTGTTGGGTCAGTTGTTCTCACAAACCCATAATCCAGCAGGAAGCACACGGCTGTTAATGCAACTGTGTGGTGACTTCAGCCTGCAATAGCTGATGGGCCATCCCTTGCCTTCTGACTGGGGTCTGTGCATACAGGATCACATCTGCAGTGTCCCTGAGAGGCCGACAGAAAGTGCCAGGTTGACGTGTTGCCTGTGGGATCCTCTGTGCCTGAGCACCTGGTAGGGCCATAGAGCAAGAAGGAGGTTTGTGTGAGGGATTGTGATGGCTCTTCTGTGTGAGTACCAACTGGATAGCAGGAGGGACATGACTTGAAAGTGTCTGTCCATGAAGCTGGCAGGTGCCTTGGAAGATGATGGTGAGGTTCCTTCTTCTCAATGGCACAAGAAAGCTGATGGGTGGCATTTCCATGAGGAAATGATTTCCAACACGATGGAGTTGGTAGCAGAAATGTGCCAAGGGAGAAAAACGCTCCCTCACAGTGCAGCTTGAAAGCCAGAGACTGGGCATGAGGAGGAAGAAATGTCACTGGAAGTGTTATGATGTGGGACCATGCTGAGGGATCACTCCATGCCTCTGTGTTTCAAGGGCCATTCAGAGAGGCCTAAGAGACATCAGTGAAATGATTGTAGTGCCAGGGTCAGAGCAGGGTGCAGAGGAGAGGTGGGTGTCTGCAGACCACAGGGAAACAGGGGCTGGGCTGGAACAGCATAGGAAAGCCTGCAGAGGAGAAGGCAGTGGGTGCTGGTGACGATGAAAGGCTGCAACATCAGTAAGGTTTTTTGTCCCCTCTTTGTGAGGAGATTTATTATGCTTATGGTAATGGGGCCTCACTGCTGCCTTGCATCCCTGTGCAGAGGCTGGCAGGTGTCACACTGTTGTCCTTCACATGGAGTGCAATCTGCACCACCACACCAACCCCAGGACGAGCCCTGAGCTCATTCCCTCCGATACGGTGAATCTCCTGTCCAGTGTCTGGATGTCAGGCCTTGGCCCTTCTCCTTCATCAAGCAAACCAAGAGATTTCTCAGCACAATACCTTATGTAAATGTAATCATTGCCTCCAATTACCGGCTCGAACAAGTCCAAGGGAGGCTGTGTTGGTAATGTCCCTTATTGGCCACAGTACTCCAAGATACTTCAACTTGTCAATCCAATTAACTTTCTCCTCTCAGTACCTGAGGTTCATAGACCCAGCATCAAATGTACCATGGGTCTCTCTGTAGTACAGAAATTTGCAATGAGCCATATCTGTTCCATAATGTCCTTGAAGTTGGAGAGGTTTCATAATGTAGTAAAGGAAGGAGATTTCAAATGGATGTTGATCCAGAGAGTCTCCTAAGGAGATCTGCATAGGCAGAAGCAATTGCTTGAGGTCTCACACAGTACAGGCAACCTGACTGCTCACCTCCCCAGGCCTGACGTGTCTGCTGTATGCACCTGGCACTTGCATCACTTTTCCCTACACCAGAATTCTCCACTGCAGTCTGCAGCTGGATGGTACAGTTCCTTTACACCGTTCCTTTACCTGCTTCCCTAAGAGAACTGTCTGCACGCAGGCACAGGTTGTTGCTTCCTGCTTTAAAACAAACAACAGTAAAGGATGACACAATTTCCCCAACAACAGAACACACTCCTCAGCCATATCTCACCAGTATGGTTCGCCTTCCCAAAAGAATAAGTACTTTACATAAGTAGGTAGGAAATGATAAATATTAATAGAAAACAGATACTAACTGAAGGATAAATGATAAGGAGCAAACTCCACTATGTGATCCCAAGCATCCCATGCTATCTCCAGAGGTCCCAGATGTCCTGTCTTGGACAGGCAGCTTTCCGAGAGGACCTGCAGGAGAGCAGAGCCCTCTGGAAGCTGCAGACAGAATTTGGAATGAGTTGTCTTCGTCCCTGCAGTTGCAGCTCAACCCAGCACACTCAATGCTCCTTAGGCAAATCAGTGGATCCCTGGGGGTGACCCAGTGCTATGATGGCCACTGGGAAGCCAAGAAACTCTGATTTCTTCTCAATGAACACAAACATCCATGAACCATTTTGGATCATCAGTGTCAAACTCAGCCTGAAAGACTCAAGTACAGGTGATGAAACCCATCACATTGGCAAAATGTCCCACCAGACTATGGAAGTTAAAAAGGAGCAGTGTGAAATGACCATCAGGTCAGTCCTCAGAGGAAGGGTATGTAAAATTTATCGACTACAGAGGTGGAGAGCAAAAAGCACTCGATTGTGACTCAAATAACTAAAGTGTGTCCGTGCTGGCCTGACAGCAGCTCCCTGTTCCCTCCAGCTTCCCTCCTCGTGCTCCCTGCAGGACCTGAGCTGGTGGAGCTGCTCTGCAGGGCGAGGGAGCTGTGGTGCCCTGGGACACCGGGCTGACCCTGTGCTGCTCAGGGTGAGAGGCAGTCCCAGCTGGATGGGATCTCTATTGCTGAGTCCCTCTCCCTCCTTTGCCTGTGGGCTCCTCAGGTTCCCCTGTTTCTTTGGATCAATGGTCTGTCATTGCGCAAGGAATTATTCTTTGCCTTACACTTACACTGTCTCTTACGCTGTCCCCGGAGATCCCCTGGCGTTTCCAGGCTGCTCCAGATTCCTCTCCAGGACAGTGTCTGCCATCAGTCCCACAGCAGCAGGGACAGTCCCGCACAGTCATGTTCAAGACCAGTTATGTTTTGGTGGGCCATGTACAACCAAGAAGGGAGCTCTCGTCTGTCCTTTGGTCCTCACTGACCACCCTGGGACTCTGAACCATGCAGAACCCCTGGAAAGCAAGAGGACTTTCCCGAGGGCAACTCCTTGGCTGTATTCCTGGCACAGATTTGGAAGGGGTGTTCAGTCCTCTGGCCTTGCCCTGAGCAGCCCCTTCTTGTTCTGGTCTCAGCAGGGAGGCCAGCTGAGGAGCAGTGCTGCACACTGCCTGCCTGCCTGCAGCCACAGGGATGCCGCCACAGAGACAACAGCGCCACAGAGCAACAGCGCTGTCATCAATTGCACCAGAACTGAGAGCTGACACAAATGCAAGGACACAAGAGAACAGTTGGGAACATAACGAGTGCAGCACTGAAAAGACCACGTCCTGTTGCTGCCCAAGGCCGTGGCTCCAGGGAAGCCTCAGCATAACTCAAAGGCAGCAGAAAGTCCCTCTAGTCAGTGACGGACATCCCTCAGGGGACACCGCTGCTCCTTGTGCCATTTGTGTCTTAGATCATGAGCTTCTGCTGATGATCCAGACTAGATGGGAGGCAAAACAAATGATCCTCTGCTGATTTCTTTATGTATTCATTGAACCTGGTTCCTTAAGTACAATAGGTTCAAGACAGGGAATTAAAAATAGGTAAACATAAAGACTGATGATGAATATTATTTAATTGGAATTAAGTTCATTATAGCTATGACAAAAAAATAGGAAGGAAAAATGGAAACATCACATAAAATAAATCACACTTTTCCTAACTTTTTTGCAGTCTTGAGGGTATGATGAACATTGTTTTGATGGGCAAACAATGCATAATAGAGTACTTTCCTGAGGGCACCCTTGAGCTCCTGATTCCTCATGCTGTAGATGAGGGGGTTCAGTGTTGGAGGCACCACCGAGTACAGAAATGACACCACCAGGTCCAGGGATGGGGAAGAGATGGAGGGGGGCTTCAGATAGGCAAACATCAGAGTGGTGACAAAGAGGGAGACCACAGCCAAGTGAGGGAGGCATGTGGAGAAGGCTTTGTGCTGTCCCTGCTCAGAGGGCATCCTCAGCACGGCCCTGAAGATCTGCACATAGGACAGCACAATGAATACAAAGCACCCAAATAAGACAAGAACACCAGCCATGATAAGTCCAAATTCCCTAAGGTAGAATTCTGAGCAAGTGAGCTTGAGGATCTGGGGGATTTCACAGAAGAACTGATCCACAGCATTGCCATGGCAGAGAGGCAGTGAAAATGTGCTGACAGTGTGCAGGAGGGAATAGAGAAGCCCAGTGCCCCAGGCAGCTGCTGCCATGGTGGCACAAGCTCTGATGTCCATCAAGGTCCCGTAGTGCAGGGGCTTGCAGATGGCAACATAGCGGTCATAGGACATGATAGTGAGAATGGAATACTCCACTGAATACAGAGATGCAAACACAAAGGTCTGGGCAGCACATCCAGCATAGGAGATGTGCCTGGTGTTCCAGAGGGCATTGGCCATGGCTTTGGGGAGAGTGGTGGAGATGCAGCCCAGGTCGAGGAGGGCGAGGTTGAGCAGGAAGAAGTACATGGGGGTGTGCAGGCGGTGGTGGCAGGCTACGGCTGTGCTGATGAGGCCGTTGCCCAGGAGGGCAGCCAGGTAGATGCCCAGCAAGAGCCAGAAGTGCAGGAGCTGCAGCTGCCGCGTGTCTGCCAACGCCAGGAGGAGGAACTCGCTGATGGAGCTGCTGTTGGGCATCTGCAGTTCCTGCTGGGCCTGGAGTCCTGTTTAGAATGCAGAAGATAATGACAGAAGTCAAGATAACTTGCAGAGAACCTCCTCCTGCTATACTTTGAATTTTTTTGTTTCCTGTTTAAAATGTTCATTTAACTCCATAACGGGAGTTTATTTTCATGAGCTTCACAATTCCTTAAGGATTTGCAGTATATGTAGCTCTTACTTTGCTCTCTTTTTCCAAATCATATCCCAGGCTGCTAGATATTTTCCTCACAGGAGCTGTTTCCAGAAATCTTATCTTTACCCTGTCTGCACTCAGAGACCTCACCCCTAATCTGTGCACCTAAATTTCTGCTGGAGAAAGCTGCCTGGTTGCAGGAAAAGTGCATTACTCATGTCTGCAAAAAATGATGATAATTTCAGCTCATGCTCTCCTTTGGGAGCAAAGAGGCTGAAAGCATTTAAGGAGATTGCACACATAACAGCAGATAGAGAAATTCAATTCAGGATTCTCTGAGATGTGTTCTTATTTCAAAGATCCTTTATGCCTCCAACTTTTTCACCTTCCCTACAAAAAAGAAAAGGAAATTTCCTGCCTTGTCACTCCTCTCGCAAAGTGCACCTGGAAACACTCTGGCATGCAGTGAATCAGTGCTCCAGCCCTCAGCTGGAGCAGGTTTTTATCCAAAATAAAGAAACATGGAGTGCCTACAGCCTGACCTGCAATGGGCTGTCGCAGATTTAGTAATTCCTGTATTAAAGCCACTACGCTGTCTGCGATGAGAGACTTACCTGGTCAAGGGCTGTGACAAATCCTCCTCCAGTGAGCTCACAGCCTAACGTGCCACACAGCCTGTCAGCTCTCTTCCTTATTTCCTCTACCTGTCTCTTGCAGACCATGCCCAGAGTCTTGCTGTGTGCTGCACAGGAGCTGCTCCTTTGCACTGCTGTGTCCCTGCAGCACTGCCCACTTGTAGGAGCTCCCTGTGTCCCTGGAGCCTGACCCAGCTCAGCAGCAGATGATGTCATTTCTATTCCACCCACTGATCTCCCCTGACACGTCCCTGGGTCTCCATGGCCAACAGCTCCTGAAAGACTTCAGTGTCATTATAGTACTTCTACATCTGCTGAATTAACCACCAAACGTCCAGTGGACAGTGACTGATTCCAGACATATGGTCAGTCCTACCAGAAAGTGTTTGCTGAAACAAAAAGGGCACACAGACAAGGACAGTGGAATTTCCCTGAGGCAGTGAGGCATCTCATCCCTAGATGGAAACCCAAAGGTTGAAATGGGATTCAGCACCCCACGGACACAAAGGAATTTCAGGGATTCCTCTGGTTCAGTTCAGATGTGCACAAGGAGTTGCCTGCATGTGAGCTCCTGCTCTGAGTCCTTGGTCCTTCAAGGGGAGTCAGTTGCTCACACACAGACCCTGGGTGATGACCAAGGTGCCTGGGGTGCTGCTGGATGTGTGCCAGTGCTTGTGCAGTATGTGGGACATCCCTGAGAGAGACACCTCCTTCCTGAGCATCAGCTGAGGGCCAGAGAGGGGATAGAGCTATTCTCAGCCATCCTAAATGACAACAGACTCCTGAATTTAGGGCACCCAAGTTTACCTTCTTTACCCGTCCCCATGGTGTGTGTGGAGTTATGCAGCTGACTGAGCTCACAAAAGAAGAGCCAGATCTTTCTCTGTTCACCATCTACTCAATATTTTGGAGCTCCAGGCACTGCAGAGCTGGCACACATCTTCATATTTCAACTGATGAAATCTCAGTGTTCTATGGGCACACACGTGAATGGCATCAGAAGCAGCCGAGTGCCATGCCAGTTCCCTAGGTGCTCCAGCACACACAGATGCTGCTGGCAAATGCAGCACAAGGCCTTCAGGAAAGCCATGCCCTAGGAGTGTCCGTGCTGCTGTGACAACTCCGAGCCTCACAGTGGGTCTAATGCCTGTGTGCCACCTTCTGAACACAAATACCATAGATGTGTTATGCAGCCATGCTAGGAACAATGGTGCTTGTTTCTTTATGTGCTTTTACAGTAATGAGAACACCAACACATGCAGAGCTAGAAATCTTTGTTCAATTGCAGGCCTGAGCTCTTGTTTGGACCACTGGGACACGGTTAAAGGGCTTCCACAACTGAACTGAAGCACAACGGGTTACAGAGTCTTAGTGATGGATGAGTGAGGAGACAAGGAAAGGTGACTGCACTCTGGGAGAGTGCACTGAACTTCTCCTGGGGATGGCAGAGCAGCCAGGTCAGAGCAAATGGTAATGGCAATCAAAGGAGACCAGCAGTGTCTGTTCCTGGCTTCCTGATCAGAAAGAGCAAGTGGAAGGTGCCCTCTGCAGACAGATGGGAGCCTCATCTTGTCAGGCCATTTAGAGGCCATTTTCACTGCAGTATCTGTTGCAGGGACAGCACAGCAGGGCATGCACCATGCAGGAGATCCCTGGACAGGACAGATGGCAGCTTCTTGACCAAGCCATAGAGGAATCCAAGAGGAGAGGTGCTCTGCTGGATCCCAAACATACTGAAAAGGAAGGGCTGATGGGGAAGGTGAATGTGAAGATGAAAGTGAACCTGTGCTGCAGTGGCCTTGGAATGGTGGATCTGAGGAGCCTGAAGGGAGGATAAAAGACAAGCTCACAACCCTGGGCTTCAGAAGAGCACACCTTGGCTTCTTCAGTTCTCTGTGACATACAGTACAGCAGGGAAAGGTTCTGAGGGGAATGGGATCAAAAAATGGGCTTGCAATATAGGGATCATGGCTTCCAAGCAGAATAAGTCCTTTCCAAGGAAAAGGAAGCCAAATATAAATGGCAGAATTCCTGCATGACTGGGAATGGATTGCATTGGTCTCACCCAAACACAGAAAGGAAGCGTGCAGGAAGTGGAAACAAGAAGAGGTCACCTGACAGCAATGCAGAGACTTTGTCCAGTGTTCCTGCTGAGATGAGTTCAGGAACATCAGAGTTCAACCGCAATTGAATGAGCCCAGGCATATCACAGGCAAGGAGGGCTTGTAGAAATACAATGTAGTCTACAAAAGGAAGGCTAGGGAGAATGTGGGCCCAGCATAGAATGGGGCAGGGAACATCATGAGACAGGACATGGAAAAGTCTCTGATACTCATTTCCTTCCTCATGGTTTATTAGTTGGTCTGGGCTTCTTGGAATCCTGGGTGCCAGAGACAGGTGGGAAATGTTGGTGCAAGGCAGATGTACAGTTGGTGGAAGAAGAGGTGATCAGGGAATACCTGAGCAAACAGGATCCCTTGTTGGAAGAGGCTGACAAGTATTGTAGGATTTTTGAACGGTTTGGGTTGGAAGGACCTTAAAGCCCATCCAGTTCCATCTCCCTTGCTGTGTGCAGGGCTGTCACTCAGTAGATGAGGATTCCTGGAGCCTTTGACATCTTCAATATCTCCAGGGATGAGGCAACCCCATCTTCTCTGGGCTGCCTGTTCCATACCAGCTCCATGCCTCACATCATGGTCTGTGGAATGCAACGAGGAAGGCTAAAGCCTGCCTGGAATTAAATCTGGTGAAGGGGATAAAGGATAATAAAAAAGGCTTTTTTTAAGTATGTTAACAGTAAAAGGGAGACTAGGGAGAATGTGGCTCCCCTGCTAAGTGACAGGGGTGTTCTGATAACGGGGGATGCTGAGAAGGCAGAGATACTGAATGCCTTCTTTGCTTCTGTCTTCAGTGAAAAAGCTCCCCCTCGGGAATCCGAAACCCTGGAGGTGAGTGAGAGGATCTGGGGAATGGAAGACCTCCCTTCAATCAGGTAAGAGGTGGTCTGAGAGTGCCTAGGCAACACCGGTGTTCATAAATGCAAGGGACCCGATGGGATGCATCCACGGGTGCTGAAGGAGCTGGCAGATGTGATTGCTGAACCGCTTTCTGTCATCTTTGAGAGGTCTCCAAGATGGGGAGGTGCCTGAAGACTGGAGGAGAGCCAATGTCACTGCGGTCTTCAAAAAGGGCAAGAAGGAAGACCCAGGCAACTATAGGCCAGTCAGCTTCACCTCTGTAGCTGGAAAGGTGATGGAACAGCTTGTGCTGGATGTCATCTCCTGACAATGGAAGAAAAGGAGGTGATCAGGAGCAGTCAGCACGGGTTCACCAGGGGGAGGTCATGTTTGACCAATCTGGTAGCCTTCTATGATGTTGACTCTGGCTGGGTGGATGGGGGCAGAGCAGTGGATGTAGCCTACCTTGATTCCAGCAAGGCTTTTGATACTGTCCCCCACAACATGCTTACAACAAAGTTGAGGAAGTGTGGATGGATGAGTGGACAGTGAGGTGTGCTGAGAACTGGCTGCTGGCAGAGCACAGAGGGTCGTCGTTGGCGGTGCAGAGTCTGGCTGGAGGCCTGTAAGCAGCGGTGTTCCTCAGGGGTTGGTGCTGGGTAAGGTCTTGTTCAACATCTTCATCAATGACCTTGATGAGGGGATAATGGCCACCCTCAGCAAGTTTGCTGATGATACGAAGCTGGGAGGATTGGCTTGAAGGCCGTGCTGCCATTCAGCAAGACCTGGAGAGGCTGGAGAGCTGGGCAGAAAAAAATCGGATGAGGTTTAACAAAAGCAAGTGTAGAATCTTGCATCTGGGGAGGAATAATTGCATGCACCAGTACAGGTTGGGGGATGAGCTGCTGGAGGGGAGCTCTGCGGAGAGAGACCTGGGTGTCCTGGTGGCCATGACAGGTTGGCCATGAGCCAGCAGTGTGCCCTTGTGGCCAAGAGGGCCAATGGCATCCTGGGGTGCATTAAAAAGAGCGTGGCCAGCAGGTCGAGGGAGGTGATCCTCCCCCTCTGCTCTGCCCTGGTAAGACCTCATCTGGAGCACTGCGTCCAGTTCTGGGCTCCCCAGTACAAAAAAACACAGGGATCTCTTGGAAAGAGTCCAGCGGAGGGCCACAAAGATGGTGAAGGGCCTGGAGCATCTCTGCTATGACGAAAGGCTGAGTGAACTGGGTCTGTTCAGCCTTGAGAAAAGAAGACTGAGAGGGGACCTGATCCAGGTCTATAAATATCTAAGGTGTGGGGGGCAGAACGGTGAGGCCAGACTCTTTTGAGTGGTGAGTGGAGACAGGACAAGGGGAAAATCCTGGAAACTGCAGCATAGGAAGTTCCTCACAAATGTGCTCAAGAACTTCTTTGCAGTAAGGGTGATGCAGCACTGGAACAGGCTGCCCAGGGAGGTGGGGGAGTCTCCTTCTCTGGAGATGTTCAAGACCTGCCTGGATGCCTACCGGTACGACCTGGTGTAGGGAACCTGCTTTGGCAGGGGGTTGGACTCAATGATCTCTGAGGTCCCTTCCAACCCCTACAATTCTGTGATTCTGTGAATGTTAGAAATTCCTTCCAAACGTCTAATGTAAATCTCTCTTTTGGATTGTTGTGTTTCATCCTTGTCCTGTTATTCAGAAATGCTTTAAGAAGTCGCACTCCACCTTTTTTTATTTGAACAAGAAAATGGCTCGAAGATGCAGGAAAGCATTAAGCAGAGTAGTGCCTCCACATTTCAGATCTCCAACACTAGAAAGATGTCTGCAAGTGGGAGCTGATATGTATTACCACTTCTCAACTTCATATAGTCTCACGTGTCATCCCCCTTTTTAAGCTGAAAACGCTCACTTTTGAGGGGATATTGTGTCTTTTATTTTATTTATTTATTTATTTATTTATTTTTCCAAAAAGCACAGTGTTTTCCAGAATTGTGTTTTCAGGACACAGATGCCTTCAGGTACAGGGACACAGACAGTGGTGCCAGTGCCAATGCCCTGTGACCGATGCCCAGCGTCCACCGCTGCTCCACCCTGCTGCGTATTTGATGTCCCTCATCCTCCAGGTGTCTCCAGCTCTCCTAAATCTGTGACCATGGTTCAGGCCATGTTTTCAGCAGGCCATCTGGACACATGCTCTTCCCACTGCTCTCCAGATGTCCCCATCCCTTGCTCGTTCTTCACTCAGATTCTTCCCAAACATATGGCTGATTCATCACCTTCAGGGATATAACTGGAATTTGCTCCTTCTCTCCAAAGTCTGATGAACTCTTTTCTCAACTCTTTAACTGTGATTCTATCTATCCTTACTTATCCCTGTCCAACATATCTCTTGTACAAATATTCCCTGTGAAAGACAAACCTCGTTAGATGCAGCTTGGACAAGGCATGCAGCTGACCACTGTGTTTTACTGTTCATTCAATTGTATCATGTTTACAACTGCTGTTGGAAAAAATGAGAAATCTTTTATTTTCCATGTGCACCTTGTTCTCTGAGGAAAGCCGGGGAGGGCCGGTGCAAAGCATGTGTAACACTGAGCGGGTGACTCCAGAGGAGAAGGGCAATGTGAGGGAAAGTGATGCAAGTCCCATGGGGCCAATGTAAGTAGAAATGGGGAAGGGTAGCTGAGGCAGCAGACATTTGTCCACACGGTGACAGAGCAAAGCTCATTAGGGGACATCCTGGATCAATATCAATTGCCAAGTGCTGCTTTAGCTTCCTGTTCATACCCAACTTTAAATAAATAAATAAATAAACAGTCTTCATAAATGCCTGTCATTCTCTTCCCCTTTTAGCTCTCTCCAGATTCCTCTCCAGTTTGCTGTACAAGTTCTGAACACCTGAAGATGACAGGAAGGCACAAGGCACAGGAGGGCTCTTCAGGTTGTAATGGGCCCCAGGGGGCATTTGCTGCTGAGTCCATCAACCTCCAGTGCACAGAGAAGATTTCATGAAGTGCTCAAGAAGACCAAGTCAGAAGGAACAGTGAAGTTTCTAGGAGTATTAATGGGCCCCACTGAGGGCCATTATCAAGCAAGCTTCCCCTGGGACTTGTTAGAGCAGAGAATGCTCTCTTTGGAAGCCATGATTACAGGCAGACGAAGGCAGTGAGATGGTGGCTGTGATGCTGAGAAAAGCCTCCTTTGTCTTATGGAGCAGAAAGACCAAGCCCTGATCCCCAGAGCCTTGGCAGGGAGATCTTGTCTCTTCTGCTGGCTCAGGGCCCTTTCTGGGGCAGTGGGGTGGCGGTTTGTGTGATGTCAAATGAAAGAGAAGGGGACAGCAGCTGCCAGACTCTGTGCGGAGAGCAAGGATGCCGTGAGGCCCAAGTCCCATGTGGGCAGTGTGTCTCATCCCAGGATGTGGGAAGTGAGAAGGGCCCAGTCTGAACAAGCAGTCAATCCCGATGAAACTTTGAACTTCAGATTCTCAGTTCTGGTGCCTTCCTTTGGACAGTGTCCAGTAGTTTTATGTCCTTTATGTTCTGCAGTGCCCAGAAGTGCACCCAGTGCTCCAGGTGAGGCTGCAGCAGTGCAGAGCAGATCAGGACAATCCCTTCCCTCACCCACATGGCAATGCCATGCTCAGTGCATCCCAGGGGACAGTTGGCCTTCCTGGCTGCCTGGGCACACTGCTGACTCACATTCAATTTCATGCTGACCATGACCCTGAATCCCTTTCAGTGGGACTGCTCTCCATAGTCCCATATCCAGTCAGTGTGTATGTCCAGGGCTGCCCCTACCCGGGTTCAGAATCACGCACTTGTTCTCGTTATACTTCATCTGCATTTTGTGCTTACCCAGTTCTCTAACTGGAGCACATCTCTCTGTAAGTCCTCTCCACTCTCAATGGAGGCAAGGAGCTCCACCCTATTTGGTACCAGCAGCAAACTTACTCAAAACATTTTCTGGCCATACATGCACTCAATCACAAATGCATTAAAAAGAAGTGGTCTTCAAACAGAGCCCTGGGGAACCCTGCCAGTGGCCATCTGCAAGCCTGATGGAACCCCATTTGCCACCCTCTGAGTCGGACCCACTGGCCAACTGCTCACCCACCACATTATAGTTCTGTCTAGCAATATGCAGGACATTTTGCCCAGACGAATTCTGTGAGATACAATATCAAAAGCTCTCCTGAAATCCTCAAGGATAACATTAGATGGCTTCCCTAGTTCATCTAAATTTGACCTTGTCATAAAAGGATATGAAGTTAAACAGGACTTTCCCTTCATGAACTTGTGTTCTCTCTGCCAGTGACAGAATTGTTCTTCACGTAATTTTTAATAACTCTCAGTATCATTTTTTTCCATAATTTTACCAGGCACTGACTTGAGACTGACAGGTACAGAATTGCCTGGATAATCTTGCTTGTTCTTATTGAAAACTGGAGCAGTGATTGCCATTTCCCTGTGAACTGCGAACTTGCATGACCTGAGACGACTTCTGATGCCATTTACATGACAGCCCAGAGCAAACTATGGTGTCATCAGTGAAAGAATGTAAATGTGTCCTAGCTTTGTAATGCCTTGAACTCCAGAGTATGCCACAGGTGGAGCACAGAGGAAGATCTGCCTCTTCTATTGTGAGTTCATCCATTTGGTCAGCAGAATAACACCACATGCTCCTTGGGGCAGGTGCAAAAGGCACACTGGGTGCCCTAAGCACAGGGCTGTGGTGGCATTTAGGATGGCCAAGAATGCCTCCCTTCTGGCCCTCAGCTGATGCTCAGGAAGGAGGTGTCTGTCTCACAGATTTGTCACCACAGCTTACAAGCACCAGCACACAGCTGGGATCACCCCAGGCACCTTGGGCATCACTGAGTGTCTGTGTGCGAGCAGTGCAGTCCTGTTGAAGAAAGATCAAGGATTCAGATGAGGGCCTCACACACCGACACCTCATTGTGCACATCTGAACTCAGCTAAGAGGACTCCCGGCTCCCATGGTTCTGTGAGGAACTGATCCCATTTCAGCCCCGGGGTTTCCACCAGCAGATGAGATGCCTACTTTTAGGATCTGGAAGTGATGGTCTGACAGTAATTAGACAAATTGAAACGGCTTTTAAATTGTTTTAGGAAGACATTTCTTAGACAGAGGCACTGGAAAATGTTGCCAAAAGAGGCTGTGGATGACCAAACCCTGGATCCATTCAAGGTCAGGATGGATTGGATGCTGGACAGGCTGATCCGGTGGTTGGCAACATGGCTGGGGCTTGGAATTAGTTGACCTGCTTCTGGAATCCAGTGGATGTGTTGATTAATTGAGCTGACTTTGAAATACGTTCTGCAGAGATGACCCTGATGCCTTGGAAGAGCTCAGGAGAAACATGGATATCTGCAGGGAGAGAAAGAAATCACATTCTTGGCTACTGAGCTAGTCTGGTCTACTGGGAAACAGAGAGCTCATACAAGTAGGCAGCACTGCAGAGAGACAGTTGTGCCCATGAGCAGCTCCTGTGAAGCATTCAGCAGAGCTGGGGACATGATCTGCAGGTGACAGGACAGAAGAAAGAGATCTTACACGCTGTGTGGCACGTTAGGCTGTGAGCTCACTGGAGGAGCATTGCGCACAGCCCTTGACAAGGCAAGTCTCTCACTGCAGGCAACGTCGCGACTTTTACTGCAGGAATCACTGAATTTGGGACATCCATTGCAAAACAGGCTGAAGGCATTCCATATTTCTTTATTTTGGATAAAAACCTGCTCCAGCTGAGGGCGTTCCTGCTGCAGCATCAGAGCACAGCCCTGGGTGCTGCGTGTTCCAGGACGGCTGCAGGCTGTGCAGTCGGGGCTGCAGCCGGGTGCCCAGGGCTGTCCTGCAGAGCAGGTCCTGCTGTGCCCCAGGGGCTGTGTGCCGGGGCAGGGACTGTGCTGCCTGCCAGGCTCAGCACTCAGCCTGCCTGGGGAGCTGCCCAGGGCGCTGCGGGGAGATGTGTGGGGGGAAGGAGCCCCCCAGCATGGCAGGGCAGGGCAGGGCAGGGCAGGGCAGGGCAGGGCAGGGGCCTTCTGCTGCCACAGCTGCTGCCTGGGGCAGGGGGTTCACAAGACACACTGCATGCCAGTGTGTTTCCAGGGGCACGTTGCAAGAGGAGAGACAAAGAAGGGATTTTCCATTTCCTGTTCTTAGGGAAGGGGAAAGAGTTGGGAAATCTGAAAGGAGCTGTGAAATCTGAACACGTCTCTGAGAATCCTGAATTCTACCTTCCTCAATCTGCTATTATATGAACAAGCTCCTCATGTGCTTTCCGCGTCTCCTCTCCGAAAGTACCAGCTGAAATTACCAAAATTATCAGCAGACATGAATATTGCACTTATCCTGCACACAGGCAGCTTTCCCTAAGAGAGAAATTTAATGCACAGAGGCTGAGATGGGCACTCTGAGTGCAGACGGGGAGAAGATCTGAGGCATGGAAATTGTTCCAAAGAGGAAAATATCCACAGAGCTGGGGTGTGATTAGGAAATGAGAGGAACGTAAGAGCTCCTTAATCTTGTACTTCTTAGGGGTTGATGAAACTCATGAAAATAAATTCAAATAAAATGAACATTTTCCTAAGAGAAAGAAAAACTGTTATAGTATGGTGGGAGGAGAGTCTCTGAAAAAGCTCTTGACTCGTCATTATCTTCTGCACTCTGCACAGGACTCCAGGCCCAGCAGGAACTGCAGATGCCCAACAGCAGCTCCATCAGCCAGTTCCTCCTCCTGGCGTTGGCAGACACGCGGCAGCTGCAGCTCCTGCACTTCTGGCTCTTGCTGGGCATCTACCTGGCTGCCCTCCTGGGCAACGGCCTCATCAGCACAGCCGTAGCCTGCCACCACCGCCTGCACACCCCCATGTACTTCTTCCTGCTCAACCTCGCCCTCCTCGACCTGGGCTGCATCTCCACCACTCTCCCCAAAGCCATGGCCAATGCCCTCTGGGACACCAGGCACATCTCCTACGCTGGATGTGCTGCACAGGTCTTTTTCTTTTTGTTCCTGTTATCAGCAGAATATTTCCTTCTCACCATCATGTCCTATGATCGCTATGTTGCCATCTGCAAGCCCCTGCACTATGAAACCCTTTTAAGCATTAGAGCTTGTGCCAGCATGGCAGCAGCTGCCTGGGGCACTGGGCCTCTCTATTCTCTGCTGCACACTGCCAACACATTTTCTCAATCACTGTGCCAAGGCAATGCTGTGGATCAGTTCTTCTGTGAAATCCCCCAGATCCTTAAGCTCTCCTGTTCGATACTGGGCCTTGTTATGGAAATTAGGCTTCTTGTGGCTAGTATAGTTCTTTGTTTTGGGTGTTTTGCTTTCATTCTTTTCTCCTATGTGCAGATCTTCAGCGCCGTGCTGAGGATGCCCTCTGAGCAGGGACGGCACAAAGCTTTCTCCACGTGCCTCCCTCACCTGGCTGTGGTTTCCCTGTTTCTCAGCACTGCCATGGTTGCTTACCTCAAGCCCCACTCCATCTCTTCCCCATCCCTGGATTTGGAGGTGTCATTTCTGTACTCAGTGGTACCGCCGGTAATGAACCCCCTTATCTACAGCATGAGGAATAAGGAGCTGAGGAATTCTCTGTGGAAACTAATGGCCTAATGTGTTGTGAAAACAATGAACTGCCCATCTATTTCTATACGTGACTTGTAATTCAGATTTTGACTTAACCACGCTGTCTTTTTTTTGGTTTATGTATTCATTTGTTAAGTGTTATTTTTTGAATGTTTTCTTTTCTGTTTTATGTATTCTAAACTCTTTCACTGAATCTTCACTATGCCTATCCATTCCTATCCAGCTTGTACCTATGTAGTGTAACCCAGACACACTGTACATGAGGGACCGGGCTCTCTGTGAACCTTATCAAAACAAAGGGCATGCAATGACTTTGTCTGTCTTCTTTCCTGAGAGGCATTTCTGGAGCTGTTGGGTCAGTTGTTCTCACAAACCCACAATCCAGCAGGAAGCACACGGCTGTTAATGCAACTGTGTGGTGACTTCAGCCTGCAATAGCTGACTGGCCATCCCTTGGCTCCTGGCTGGGATCTGTGCATACAGGATCACATCTGCAGTGTCCCTGAGAGGTCGACAGAAAGTGCCAGGTTGACGTGTTGCCTGTGGGATCCTCTGTGCCTGAGCACCTGGTAGGGCCATAGAGCAAGAAGGAGGTTTGTGTGAGGGATTGTGATGGCTCTTCTGTGTGAGTACCAACTGGATAGCAGGAGGGACATGACTTGAAAGTGTCTGTCCATGAAGCTGGCAGGTGCCTTGGAAGATGATGGTGAGGTTCCTTCTTCTCAATGGCACAAGAAAGCTGATGGGTGGCATTTCCATGAGGAAATGATTTCCAACACGATGGAGTTGGTAGCAGAAATGTGCCAAGGGAGAAAAACGCTCCCTCACAGTGCAGCTTGAAAGCCAGAGACTGGGCATGAGGAGGAAGAAATGTCACTGGAAGTGTTATGATGTGGAACCATGCTGAGGGATCACTCCATGCCTCTGTGTTTCAAGGGCCATTCAGAGAGGCCTAAGAGACATCAGTGAAATGATTGTAGTGCCAGGGTCAGAGCAGGGTGCAGAGGAGAGGTGGGTGTCTGCAGACCACAGGGAAACAGGGGCTGGGCTGGAACAGCATAGGAAAGCCTGCAGAGGAGAAGGCAGTGGGTGCTGGTGACGATGAAAGGCTGCAACATCAGTAAGGTTTTTTGTCCCCTCTTTGTGAGGAGATTTATTATGCTTATGGTAATGGGGCCTCACTGCTGCCTTGCATCCCTGTGCAGAGGCTGGCAGGTGTCACACTGTTGTCCTTCACATGGAGTGCAATCTGCACCACCACACCAACCCCAGGACGAGCCCTGAGCTCATTCCCTCCGATACGGTGAATCTCCTGTCCAGTGTCTGGATGTCAGGCCTTGGCCCTTCTCCTTCATCAAGCAAACCAAGAGATTTCTCAGCACAATACCTTATGTAAATGTAATCATTGCCTCCAATTACCGGCTCGAACAAGTCCAAGGGAGGCTGTGTTGGTAATGTCCCTTATTGGCCACAGTACTCCAAGATACTTCAACTTGTCAATCCAATTAACTTTCTCCTCTCAGTACCTGAGGTTCATAGACCCAGCATCAAATGTACCATGGGTCTCTCTGTAGTACAGAAATTTGCAATGAGCCATATCTGTTCCATAATGTCCTTGAAGTTGGAGAGGTTTCATAATGTAGTAAAGGAAGGAGATTTCAAATGGATGTTGATCCAGAGAGTCTCCTAAGGAAATCTGCATAGGCAGAAGCAATTGCTTGAGGTCTCACACAGTACAGGCAACCTGACTGCTCACCTCCCCAGGCCTGACGTGTCTGCTGTATGCACCTGGCACTTGCATCACTTTTCCCTACATCAGAATTCTCCACTGCAGTCTGCAGCTGGATGGTACAGTTCCTTTACACCGTTCCTTTACCTGCTTCCCTAAGAGAACTGTCTGCACGCAGGCACAGGTTGTTGCTTCCTGCTTTAAAACAAACAACAGTAAAGGATGACACAATTTCCCCAACAACAGAACACACTCCTCAGCCATATCTCACCAGTATGGTTCGCCTTCCCAAAAGAATAAGTACTTTACATAAGTAGGTAGGAAATGATAAATATTAATAGAAAACAGATACTAACTGAAGGATAAATGATAAGGAGCAAACTCCACTGTGTGATCACAAGCATCCCATGCTATCTCCAGAGGTCCCAGATGTCCTGTCTTGGACAGGCAGCTTTCCGAGAGGACCTGCAGGAGAGCAGAGCCCTCTGGAAGCTGCAGACAGAATTTGGAATGAGTTGTCTTCGTCCCTGCAGTTGCAGCTCAACCCAGCACACTCAATGCTCCTTAGGCAAATCAGTGGATCCCTGGGGGTGACCCAGTGCTATGATGGCCACTGGGAAGCCAAGAAACTCTGATTTCTTCTCAATGAACACAAACATCCATGAACCATTTTGGATCATCAGTGTCAAACTCAGCCTGAAAGACTCAAGTACAGGTGATGAAACCCATCACATTGGCAAAATGTCCCACCAGACTATGGAAGTTAAAAAGGAGCAGTGTGAAATGACCATCAGGTCAGTCCTCAGAGGAAGGGTATGTAAAATTTATCGACTACAGAGGTGGAGAGCAAAAAGCACTCGATTGTGACTCAAATAACTAAAGTGTGTCCGTGCTGGCCTGACAGCAGCTCCCTGTTCCCTCCAGCTTCCCTCCCCGTGCTCCCTGCAGGACCTGAGCTGGTGGAGCTGCTCTGCAGGGCGAAGGAGCTGTGGTGCCCTGGGACACCGGGCTGACCCTGTGCTGCTCAGGGTGAGAGGCAGTCCCAGCTGGATGGGATCTCTACTGCTGAGTCCCTCTCCATCTGCCCTGCTGGCTCAGCAGCACCACTGCAGAGCCCTCCTTTGCCTGTGGGCTCCTCAGGTTCCCCTGTTTCTTTGGATCAATGGTCTGTCATTGCGCAAGGAATTATTCTTTGCCTTACACTTACACTGTCTCTTACGCTGTCCCCGGAGATCCCCTGGCGTTTCCAGGCTGCTCCAGATTCCTCTCCAGGACAGTGTCTGCCATCAGTCCCACAGCAGCAGGGACAGTCCCGCACAGTCATGTTCAAGACCAGTTATGTTTTGGTGGGCCATGTACAACCAAGAAGGGAGCTCTCGTCTGTCCTTTGGTCCTCACTGACCACCCTGGGACTCTGAACCATGCAGAACCCCTGGAAAGCAAGAGGACTTTCCCGAGGGCAACTCCTTGGCTGTATTCCTGGCACAGATTTGGAAGGGGTGTTCAGTCCTCTGGCCTTGCCCTGAGCAGCCCCTTCTTGTTCTGGTCTCAGCAGGGAGGCCAGCTGAGGAGCAGTGCTGCACACTGCCTGCCTGCCTGCAGCCACAGGGATGCCGCCACAGAGACAACAGCGCCGCAGAGCAACAGCGCTGTCATCAATTGCACCAGAACTGAGAGCTGACACAAATGCAAGGACACAAGAGAACAGTTGGGAACATAACGAGTGCAGCACTGAAAAGACCACGTCCTGTTGCTGCCCAAGGCCGTGGCTCCAGGGAAGCCTCAGCATAACTCAAAGGCAGCAGAAAGTCCCTCTAGTCAGTGACGGACATCCCTCAGGGGACACTGCTGCTCCTTGTGCCATTTGTGTCTTAGATCATGAGCTTCTGCTGATGATCCAGACTAGATGGGAGGCAAAACAAATGATCCTCTGCTGATTTCTTTATGTATTCATTGAACCTGGTTCCTTAAGTACAATAGGTTCAAGACAGGGAATTAAAAATAGGTAAACATAAAGACTGATGATGAATATTATTTAATCGGAATTAAGTTCATTATAGCTATGACAAAAAAATAGGAAGGAAAAATGGAAACATCACATAAAATAAATCACACTTTTCCTAACTTTTTTGCAGTCTTGAGGGTATGATGAACATTGTTTTGATGGGCAAACAATGCATAATAGAGTACTTTCCTGAGGGCACCCTTGAGCTCCTGATTCCTCATGCTGTAGATGAGGGGGTTCAGTGTTGGAGGCACCACCGAGTACAGAAATGACACCACCAGGTCCAGGGATGGGGAAGAGATGGAGGGGGGCTTCAGATAGGCAAACATCAGAGTGGTGACAAAGAGGGAGACCACAGCCAAGTGAGGGAGGCATGTGGAGAAGGCTTTGTGCTGTCCCTGCTCAGAGGGTATCCTCAGCACGGCCCTGAAGATCTGCACATAGGACAGCACAATGAATACAAAGCACCCAAATAAGACAAGAACACCAGCCATGATAAGTCCAAATTCCCTAAGGTAGAATTCTGAGCAAGTGAGCTTGAGGATCTGGGGGATTTCACAGAAGAACTGATCCACAGCATTGCCATGGCAGAGAGGCAGTGAAAATGTGCTGACAGTGTGCAGGAGGGAATAGAGAAGCCCAGTGCCCCAGGCAGCTGCTGCCATGGTGGCACAAGCTCTGATGTCCATCAAGGTCCCGTAGTGCAGGGGCTTGCAGATGGCAACATAGCGGTCATAGGACATGATAGTGAGAATGGAATACTCCACTGAATACAGAGATGCAAACACAAAGGTCTGGGCAGCACATCCAGCATAGGAGATGTGCCTGGTGTTCCAGAGGGCATTGGCCATGGCTTTGGGGAGAGTGGTGGAGATGCAGCCCAGGTCGAGGAGGGCGAGGTTGAGCAGGAAGAAGTACATGGGGGTGTGCAGGCGGTGGTGGCAGGCTACGGCTGTGCTGATGAGGCCGTTGCCCAGGAGGGCAGCCAGGTAGATGCCCAGCAAGAGCCAGAAGTGCAGGAGCTGCAGCTGCCGCGTGTCTGCCAACGCCAGGAGGAGGAACTCGCTGATGGAGCTGCTGTTGGGCATCTGCAGTTCCTGCTGGGCCTGGAGTCCTGTTTAGAATGCAGAAGATAATGACAGAAGTCAAGATAACTTGCAGAGAACCTCCTCCTGCTATACTTTGAATTTTTTTGTTTCCTGTTTAAAATGTTCATTTAACTCCATAACGGGAGTTTATTTTCATGAGCTTCACAATTCCTTAAGGATTTGCAGTATATGTAGCTCTTACTTT